GTGTGTGTGTGTGTGTGTGTGTGTGTGTGTGTGTGTGTGTGTGTGTGTGTGCGTGCGTGCATGTGTCCACGCAAGTATCTGGTGTTCGTTATGTTGATAAATCGCTGATGTAGTACTCTATAGAGCTCGAGTCTCATGAAGACCACGCACACAATATATAACAGTAAGAGCATTTGCTTGTTTAACAAGATAGAAAGTACTGCTCGCCGTGGGTGTCTGTGCAAAGGAAACTAAAAGTAGCATTTTCACATGTAGCCTATGTAATCATTATGGTATGGTGCATAACTAACTTTGTATGGCTGATAATAAAGTTAAATTATCATCTTCAATACCCCCCTCCCCTCGTCATTAAAAAAAAAAATCAACCGTAAATAAATTCAACACATTTCAGGGTGTTGTCAACTCTACTTTTTTCAATCGACAGGGCAGCTAATGTGAACGTATTCGCCCATTTTCCAAACAAGAACATAAATGTCCGTGCTTTACATTATTTCTAAAGCGTTGAAGAATTCGAAACTTTTCCTGCAAGGTTTCATCATTCAACAACTTGTATTATGAGTCGTTATTTCTAATTTTTTACACAATACTTCGGCGTGGAGGTAGACCGAGTTGTACGTGGGCTCAGGGGTTTCATAACCCTTTGATCTCGACATCACAGCCAAGCCTTAGTTATCAATAAACGACTAAATTTCCATATTATACAACGTAGTGATTTTTTTCCCAGTTGCGGGGAGAATCACACAACCCTTCCCACAGTATCGCACATCGCTGTTGACCCTGTACACACGAGGTACGTATTTCGCAACAATAGTTTGAATGTTGAAAAGGGAGAAGGAGAAGGAGGAGAAGGGGGAGAAGGAGGAGAAGGGGGAGAAGGAGGAGGAGGAGGAGAAGGGGGAGAAGGAGGAGGAGGAGGAGGAGAAGGAGGAGGAGGAGGACAAGGATGAGAAGGAGGAGGAGAACAAGAAGAAAAAGAAGAACAAGAAGAATACGAGGAGGAGAAGAGGAAGAGGAAGAAGGGGGAGCACAGTCATAATGCCTATCCCTGATGGGTCTCGGCGCTTCACAATAAAATAAAACCTCGACAGCTGTCACAATGGCACGTTTTATGCTTACCGTCCCTTTCAATTGACAAAAATTCTCACAAATTCAAAAACATTTATTATTCTTTAAGAAAACAGAACGAACATACTTTGGATCAGGAGCAGGGAACATTTCTAAAAGCGTCGACCCTTCAAAGCAAAGTCTGAATACATCAGAAACGAAAAAAAATCTGCATAAATACAAACAAAAATTCATTATCCGTTTATAAATGTATGGTGCACAATGATGCAATTATGATGTGATTTGTTGAACTTTAAAAATCCTTGCAAGTTAACAGTTTAAAACAAAAAAGGAAAAACAATATGGAGTTATGACAGTACGTGCCACTATAACATAAACCTCTGTTGATAAATCAGGAAGGGGGGGGGGGGGGGGTTAGTAATTGCATTTTACTTTTTCTAACTTAATTACTTACTTGCAAGACACTGGATTTATCAATCCCTTCGAAGACAGCAAACACGCTACTGACGCGCTCGAAAGCTGAAAAGTCTCTAGTGTCTCCCACTTTTAAAGCTGTTCAAGTCATATTTTATTTTTAGCAATTTATTTCATTTCCCCAGTCCCTGCTCTGAGGAGAGGAAATGACACGTATAGTGTCGAGTTCTTGCCGCCAGTGTCGCATTTCACCAGAATAGTCCCCTGGTCTCACACGTCACAAATGTGAATCTCGGAGTTTTTTCCCCCCTT